GTGGTCAAGACTTTGCCGCAGGGGTATCCCAAGAAGAAAGCCAGTAACCTCAAGTGAAGGTGAACACAACAGTGTGTCTGCACCCTTTTCAGGCACACAGATGGTTTGCTAATTCAGTACCTGGCTGTGACATGACTACCGCACACTTGGGAAAAACAAATCAGAACTTCCTTATGAAAGGAATATTGATTAGATCAGTCACAGAAGATAATGACGGCTGAAAGGGGAACCTTCTCTTTCCCACCTCTCTGTGCAAAGCTGTGCTCTGCAAGCTGAGACCCTACTTGGTAAAGGACTCTCCCTGGCTCTGAACTGAAGGAGCCAGCAAGATGGAAAATGCCACTGTTTTCTCTGCAATAGTTACCTTCTGTTCCTACAATCCCATTCCAAGGCCAAAGAGCTCAGCTATAATCACCGGGAGCCTGCGAAGAAAAAGAGCCCTCTTCCTAGCAGAGACTCAAAACAGCAATTCCTACTCTAGGGTTTCCAACAAGGCAGTCGAGAGTCAGGGCTTACTGTGGTCACACAGTAAGCTAACACCCAAAAGGATGACCAGCAAGCCAGACATACAGTCTAACACACTCAGGATTAATCTCTCCTCAAACGGCACACACCTAGGTTCCCTTCAGGAATCCACGACTAAAAAAAAAAATCATTTGACCCCCGCCTTCAAACAGAAGTTGAATCACTACTACTAAACTTTTAAGGGGAGGTTCAAGGCAACTGTTTGCACATAAAACTATTTTTTATGAGCTTTTATTATTTCCTTCACTACTCTTAGGGCTTTCCTTAAAACAAGAACTGTCAGTATAGGTGGGTCACTAAGTTAAGTCATTTTGCTTTTTGAGGCTAGCGGATGGGCGGCGGGATTAGGAAGTAAACCACCACCAAGTTTAAGGTGATTCACTCAACATGTGCTGGGTCACTCCCCGTATGCCTTCAGGAGCTTACAGTCTAGTTGCAAGTTGTGACCTAAATATGTGGCTATGAGCTAAAAATACATATCCCAGACCAGCTTCCGAAATGTTCTGACAAAGGAGATCCTGAATGCTGTGGGCCAGGGTGGTCAGAATCCACTTTGAAAGCAGGAAGGGGATGAGATGGGCCCGGCAGGATGGCGGGATTCTGAAAAGTGCGGACAAGAAATAGACAGCAGCTGGTCAGTGTTGGAAATACTTTCACATCCTTACTCATTTATTTCGAATTTAGCAAGACCCTTTGGGGAAATAAGAAGCCCAACAGACTCCCAGTTTACAAGAGAGCAAAGCGAGGAGGAGATGACTTGGCCAATGGATACAATAAGCAAACGAAGTGGGCTGCGAACTCAGGATTCTTTCTTCAAGCCCAGCAGCCGGGCTGGTGCTGGAGAGGAGGAGGTGCGCAAGAGCACCCAAACAGAAGCTCTGCAGGGGACACCACAGGCTGGTCAGGGCAGACTGGTCCTGAAAGACACGCCAGTTTGCCCTCTCCCCCTCCAGCAAATGAAGTCTCCAGAATTTAAAGAGGAAGGGAGAAAGAGCCTGAAGACTCGGCAGGAAGAGTGGCACCACAGTCTCCCTGAGATAATAAAGATGTGCGTTTAGAATACACTGAACACGCCGAACTGGTAACATTTGTCTTAAACTGTCAATGTCCAAGAAAACCACGAACAAAAATGCCCTTCTCTCCCTTTATGTAAATCCCTTTCAGGGAGGAAAACAGAGCAAACCTCTAACTCAGAAACTTCATTGAACACCTACTGGGAAACCAACCAATCTACCAACAACCATGTAACAGAGAGATTTAAAACAGGCCTCCTAAGTTAAAACTGGAGTTGTCAACAGTTCCGCAGGAATCTTAGGTACACAGTGAAATTTCAGGGCGGTCTAAACAACGCAAGTCAAAGAAAGATTTTTTGATTTCCCATTCAGAAGCAGTTTGGTAAACTGAAGGCCGACCGATTTCCATATTAAAGCCCTGACCCTACTTACAGCTCGGGACCTTGCAAAGCCCAAAGACTCAATCAACATCTGAAGAATAAATGCGGCCAGGCCTGCTGTGCTTCGAGTCCACACCGCACCGGCGACCTGACTGCCAGTCGGTTCCAAAATAAACCAACCCTTCAACAGCCCGGGCCTCACGCAAAGGGCGACGGTGAGGCCACAGTGCCACTTCCCGGAGATGACAACCGCCCGGCTCCCCGCCGCGTCCTCTCCCCTCCAGCCGGCCTTACTCACCGCGCCCGGGCGGCCGAGCTCCGGGCCGTCGGCGGCATCCAAGCGCGCGGCCGGGGCGGGCGCCGGGGCCGGGGCCGGGGCGGGCGCCGGGGCCGCGGCGGGCGGCTGCCGGTGCTTGCCGGCGCGCTTGGCCTTGGCCTGGATGCAGCGCTGGTGCAGGGCGAAGGTGTGCTGGCGCTCGAGCTCCAGGCGCTCGGGCGACACGGCCTCGTAGCGGGCCTCGCAGGTGCTGTGGTGGCGCCGGCACAACTCGATGCGCCGGCGGAGGCGCTCCATGACCGCGCTGTGCCGTGGCAGCGCGAACTCCGCCATGGGGCAGGTGGGCAGCACCATGAGCCGCGGGCTGCTCGGGCCGGGCCCAGGGCCCGGCCTCTCGGGGCCGGCTGGCACTGCGCGCTGCGCTCCCCGCCGCGGCCCCTGTCTGCCTCACGGCCGCGCCATGCTCCTGCGGCCTGCGGAGCGGGCTCGCGCGCAGCGGCGGACCGTCCTCCTGCCCGCTCCGCCCGACCCCAGGCCGATGCTCGCTGCCCACCTCAGGCCGCGGCCTGTCCCCGCCGCCCCGACCCCATTGTTTTCCGCGCCGCCGCCGCCGCCATCTTAAAATTGTTTTCGGGGCTCTCGGAAGAGGGCGGGCCGCTGCCGGCGACCTCGCGCGTCACGGCTGACGGACAGAGGTTCTGGCCAATGAGGGGAGGAGGAGCCGGCCGCCCGAGGGCGTGGAGACGAGCACGTAAGGGGCGAGCTGGGGCTCCCGAGTGGTATTTAAAAGGAACTCCAGCGCTCGGGGCGGGCCGGAGCGCTAGGGCGAGCCTGCGACCTGGAGGCCAAGCCGAGTGTGACTGACGGGCGTCCGTACTAGCGGTGACCAGAGGTTTCTTGAACGCCGCCCCCGAAGGCAGGCCCTTCCGGGTCCCCGGGGGAAGCGGGATAGACGCCGAGCGGCGTAGCCGGCTGCCTAGCGGCCAGCGCTTCCCCATTCCCCTCCGCCTTCCGGGATCCGGCCGATGAGCGCTGAGCAGCCACGCTGTTCCAATGCCGGCCGGTTTCCTCCCTCGCCCCTCGCATCCAGCCCCGGAGCGGCCCAGGAGGGAGCTGGTAGAGGGTTCATCTTGCACCGTCTCGTCACTGGGCCTGCCACCTTCCACTTATGTACAAAGTCTGAACAACTTTTCGAAGTTTGAGTTACTTCCGAAAAAAAAAAAAAAAAAAAAGACCGGCAGATGGGCGGAAGTGTGTGGAGTCCGACTTTCTGAGCCGGGACTGCGAGCGTAGTCTGTTGGGTAAAAGTCACTCTAAAACTGCTATAGATACCAGGAAAAGTAAAACTAAATGGTGTGGCAGAGGGTCGGGCAGGCAACGCTAGGAACACGTGAAAAGGTAAAAGAAGAGGTACCAGGAGGCTGCACTTTGAGAAACACTCAGCAGCTCATCAAAGTTTTATTTTTAAAACCCAGGAACTTGGCTTTGGCTCTGGCCCCACCCAGCCACGCCGTTGCGGCATTTGGGGAGCAGATGGGAGCCCTGTAAAAATAATAAAAAGTGAGTCTTAATTACGTTTTCATAGAAATGCATAGACAAATTCTAACTTTTTAGTGGAGGAGGGACACAAAAGCAAGAGTGCCTAGGACTAAAGAAAGCCCTATGGAGCCCCATTACCAGTCTTCAAACATGTACATTCTACACGGTGAGATTATTTAAATAGAGTAATAGTAACTTCAGAGTGCTACATTTTGTGTACTTAGGTAAGTAATCCAAAAGCCTACTAGTACATTAACTCTTGGGGGATAACTTTCAAAATTACCACTGAAATATGTAAGTATATGTGTAGTCCTAAACAAAGATTACTTTCTGACAATTTTCACAGTTCAGTGAGAGCAGAAGTTTGGTATTACAGCTTCAGTCGCTTCTTGGGACTCCTGGATCAGGAGCGCCTAGCCAGAGTCCCATGTCCTCTGCTGATGCAGCCTGGAAGGCAGCCCGGAGCCCCTGTGGCCCACCCGGGGAGGGCGCCTGGCTTTTGCTAGCTGTGGCCTGGCCCAGCCTTGGCTGCTGCAGTCATTTGGGGGAGTAAACCAGCGGTTGGAAGATATTTCTGTGTCTTGCAAATAAAATGGAAAAAAAAAGTGTCCAACGAATCCCTAAGTCTTAATGTTACCCATAAATTCCCTCCCTTTCTAGGCCATCCCTAGGAAGAGGCAAGAATATGAAAGATTGACTCAAACACATGTGGCGAGAGTTATTTCGCTGTCCCTAACAGTTTCTGCATATCAGCACATTCTCAGGTAGTGGCCCATTAAAGATGAATCCATTACTGAAACAGCTAGACATATGCACTGAAGCTTACTATGAGACAGTTCAGTCAAAAGTAGGTCACACCGGGCTTTAATTTACCACCACTCAGTAATGTGACAATCTGAAAGTTCTTTTGTGGTTAAGAAAAATCAGGGAACATAAGCTGCTGGAGAGTGGACCAGTAACCGTCAGGTAACATTCTAAATGTAAGAGCCTGTTTAAGAGCTGAAAACTGCTATCCATGATGTGTCAGATGTTCAATCAGGAGGCCATACCGTCAACAACTCAAAAAGACAATGAAACAAATGGGTTGTTTTTGTTTTGAACCAACTTTGCTAAAGAACCCTGGGAAGACAACAAATACTTTTTTTCACATCTCAGCTAGAAGAATGCAAGCAATGAAATGCAACGTAAGAGGAAAGTGAAGAACACAATTTCTGGAAATGCAATGATTTCACCAGTTTGCTTCAAGGAGAAACCTGCAGACAATACTTCAAGTCTTGCTAAGTAACTGTTTATTTGCACTCAATACATTTGGGAAAGTTTGCTACATAGCTAAGGTCACTGTGACCACAAAACAACAGATGAAAAGGATAAAGCACTGAACAGCAAGAAAAATGCATCCCACCCTCAGAGAATTTAAGTGAACCAGTTAAAAAAAAAAAAAGAATATAAATGATACAACCTTCATCTTTTACAAATATACTTCCTCCCCCAAACCTCCCCAATATAAACACTGTGGCATGTTTATATATTCAGTGCAAGAAGCAGTTTCATCCATACATTTGAAATGCTCTGAAGAAAGACAAAAACTAAAATCCCATCTAATTCTGAATACATTTCAGTGTGGTGTGATAATTACTGCAGTGATGGGGGAGAGGCTTGGATAGCACCCATCCACATTCTACATGAAAACACAAACCTAAAATCACTTTAAAAAAATTCTACAAGCCACATTAAAAAAAATTAACAGGACTGCTTTATTATGTAAATTTAAGATCCAACTGTTACAGGAATTGCAAATGAAGACTTAAAATATTTAGCAGCTACAAAATCTGATAATTCATGCTATATGTCACTCCTCCCATAAATACTTTTATCCTGTGTTCAATTACAGTCAATTCTGAATTGGCTCACCTCTGGATCAGACTTCTAAAGTCTTTCCACAAAGTAAAAGAAATGGAAAATATGTATTCTATCCTGTACTTTGACCCTGGAAAGGTGTGGGTCTGCTTTAAAAAAAAAAAAATACACGTAATCACAATAAAGCTTAACACTATGCAGAGCTTATAATCATTTTCAGCAACGGACTGGAAGCTGCGCTGTGAAGAAAATGCATAGCAGAGGAGAAAGCTGGGAATCTGGGGAAATAGGCAAGGAAAACAGTGTCAACACAGTGAAGAGTGATGAGAACATCTACTCCGGAGCTCACATGTCCTGATGCATCTGCTCCAGACAGGAGCCTAGAACACCCCTGTGTGTGAAGGACAAATGCTCAAAATGCCCAAGGCACTAAGCCACCTCCTCCACCCACTGCTGTCCAGGAACCGAGCAGTCCCAAGGGTAACACACACACACACACACACTTCATGGTCTCACCAACATCAAGTGAAAAGATTTTTTTTCTTTTTATATGTCTATTTTTAATACAACTTAAACGGAACCTTTATATAAATTTGGGCTTCCATCCAATCCCTCTCCTCAATTTCCTTAGGAGGAACTGAGCAATGGAAGCAAGCAAAACAAGATTATAACCACAGATGGCTGCACTCTGACATGATCATCAATCCTGAGGGACAGAGACACTTGAATGTTTTAATACCAAACTTAAAAAAAAGTTATAAAAACTGCAATTCACCCCCCTAGCATTCTAATGTTGGTGTTATTTCTGCATTGACAGATTAATATATTAAATTAAGCCAAAGTTTTAAAGACTGGCAAAGTTCTATCATTCTATTTTAAAAAACAAAGATGTTTAAAAACAAAAACAAAAATACAAGTTAGTTGCTTCATGTTACATCTCACAACCATTATGTTCAATGTTTTCTTTTCTACAGAAACAGGGTCCTTTGTGTCACAACTGCAATTATTTACTGCTAGATGTTTAAAATCACACGGACTAGTGTTCAACTGGGACCTGTTGATGGTGACGTCTTGAGGTTTTCTGAGTGTCAACCTAAGGTGTGCTGGGTCCTCTCCTGGGACCCCACTTGCAAAGGAAGGGGAGGGAGAGGAGATCACAGATCAAGTTCTTAAGATTGTTTCACTCTCTTCGTGGCTTTCTGTTTCTTGGCGATCTGTTCAAAATTTCATCCTCCTATTGGTGGGAAAGAAAATTCATGAATTAGCACCTTAAAAAAAAATTCCATAGATTTTCAAGATCAAGACTGAGGGTAACTCATTTGAGAGAAAAACTACAGAATAATTAAGGAAATGTACCAAAACCAATGGCTGTCTCAAAGGTGGTATTCTAATTTAGTCATTCATTTTCCAAAAACATATTTTTATCAATCTAACCCATATTCTCCTAAAAAGGAAACTGCTTTATTATACAATCTACCAGGCCTGTGAACATCTTAGCCACATTGAGAAGAAAACTGAAGACCATTCCAACAGAAAAATTCAGTTTTTTTTCTCCTATCACAAATCTTAAGATTGTAAAATATCCCATGAAAATTCTGCCTTTACTTACACATATTACATCATTTTTTTTTTTTATGTGAGGCTGTTTGGGGGATATAAAAGAATGTGAGACACAGTCCCTGCATTCAATACCTGCATTTTAGTTAAGGTATAACATATCCACTGAAAATACGAAGAGTCCTTGAAGTTCATGGGAAAATGGGGATGGGGGTGGGAGGACAAATGTTTGAACAGAGCACGTAAGTGCCTCTTAAGATGTTGGCATCACATACATATCCAAATGCCTCAGCTTCCCATCCAAGAGTTCTAGGCTCTAGCCTGGCCCAGTCCTGCCTGTTGTGGACGTCTGAGGAATGAAGTAGTAGGTAGAAATCTTTCAAATAAAATGAAAATAAATAGAAACTAGTGAAAGGTACTTTAGTGCAAAAAAATTTTTAAATCTAGGTTTTTTTTCCAGAATATACTTTCGCAAGCTTTCTGAACACTCCTTGTATAAATAAGATACAAATATCATTGACTTTTATCAGTGGGAAGGCAGAGTTGTGGTAACAGGAAGTGGAACCTTAGGAGAGCTTCAGTCTTAGAAGGAAGAGACGCAGACTTGCTGGAAAAGGGACAGATGCCAGCAAAGGCGTGGGAGTGGACATAGATGCTTTCCTTCCTCTCACACCCACAGAGCCAACCTACCTCAAAACCTCCTCTCCTACCATCGTGCTCTAATGGAGACCCCTGCACAGCCCTCTCACAGGCTGTTTACTCTGCCTGGAATGTTCTCCTGATGCCATCCTCAAGAAAAATTCTTAATCCCTTTTCCAAGTCTTCACTCAAATGTCATCTTTCCAACAAGGTCTTTAATACTGCAACCCCATCAACAACAATCTGTTTTGTTTTCTAACATACTGTGTCCCTATAAAGGCTATTACATGTTGTCTTTCTGGCCTGCTGTCTAGAATTGAAGCCACCAGAGGCAAGGCATCTTTGCCTATCTTGCTCACTGATAATGCCTGGTGCATGATGGGCACTCAACAAGTATTTATTAAATGAATGACTTACTGCATGGACAATAGGAACATTTACTAGGCAAGGGGACAGCGAGGAATATGAGACAGACATGATAAATAATAACCTGAGGTCTGAGTTTTTTTTTTTTTGTTTTGTTTTGTTTTGTTTTTTTCCTGACAGGCAGAGTGGACAGTGAGAGAGAGGCAGAGAGAAAGGTCTTCCTCTTCCATTGGTTCACCCCCCAATGGCCGCTGTGGCTGGCGCACCGCGCTGATCCGAAAGCAGGAGCCAGGTGCTTCTCCTGGTCTCCCATGCGGGTGCAGGGCCCAAGCACTTGGGCCATCCTCCACTGCACTCCCGGGCCACAGCAGAGAGCTGGACTGGAAGAGGATCAACCAGGACAGCACCCCGACTGGGACTAGAACCCAGTGTGCCAGCGCCGCAGGCGGAGGATTAGCCTATTGAGCCTCGGCGCCGGCCCTGAAGTTTCAATCTTAGCATTTTATTACATTTCTTTCTAGAACTTTCCACTTATCCCAGAAAACCATTTTCAGCATAGAAAAATACTTGAGATTATGATGTAGCTTAAAGTTAGCAAATAGGGGACTGTGCTGTGGGTTAAGGAGCCACCTGTGATGCTGGCATCCCATGAGGGCCAGTTCGAGTCCCAGCTGCTCCACTTTTGATCTAGCTCCCTGCTAATGTGCCTGGGAAAGCAGTGGAAAATGGCCCAACTGCTTGGATCCCTGCCACCCACGTGGGAGACCAGTTGGAGTTCTAGGCTCTTGGCTTGACCCATCTCCAGGCATTGCAGCCATCTGGGGAGGGAACCAGCAGATGAAATCTCCTCTCTCTTCCTCCTTGCTCTATAACACTGCCTTTCAAATATAATCAATAAATTTTTTTAATTAGCAAATAAAAATGTTGACCTGTATCACTAAGAATCCCACTTTAACAAAATTGGCTCTAATAGAGTTTTTACTGTCATAGGCATTGTATACTATCCCATGAATATATTCTCTTTACTTAAATGTACCTTCAATTTACTGCTTGAAATATAAAAGAATTGCCCGTTGCTTTACCTCTGCTTTAGGTTTCCTATCTTCCTCCTCTTGGCTGACAGTCCCACCATCTTCTTCAGCATCACTCTTTTGTTTCTCCTCTAAAACAGAAGTTAAAGTCAAACACGTGAGCAAAACTTTCCATTTGTTTCAGCATCATTACACAACTCTAGGTCTAAAACAAGCCATTGTTTTAGGGTGTTGGCTTAAGCAGCATTTCAGGGGTCTACTTCTTACCAAGCTTCTCTTCTGCCTCCTCCTCTTCATCTCCCTTGTCCTTCTCCTCCTCCTTCTCTTCTTCCTCCTTCACATCTGGTTGAGGAGCATCAGTCTTTTTGTACTCCATAGCATTGGACTGTTTCTGAAACATTACCCAAAGTGCAATGGTTTCTATCATGTTTTCATTACTACATCACCATCGCATCATTGAATACCTACAGGCAAAGTGCTGAAGCATAGTGGATAAAGCTGCCACCTGTGGCCAACAGCATCCCATATGTGTGCTGGCTGGAGTCCCAGATGCTCTACTTCTGATCCAGCTCCCTGGTAATGTGCCTGGGAAAGCAGCAGATAATGGCCCAAGTGATTGGGCCCCCTGTACCCACAAGGGGGACCTGGATGGAGTTCCAGGCTCCTGGCTTTAGCCTGGCCCAGCCCTGGCTGCTGCAGCCATTTGGGGAATGAACCAGTGGGTTGAAGATCTCTCTGTGTAACTCTGCCTTTCAAATAAACAAATAATAATAAAAAAAAGAAAGATGGGCATGCACGCATGTGTGTATATGGTTCAAGGTGGAGGAATACAAAGAATGACAGGTCTACGTAGCTACACTAAGGCGTGGGTACAGGGCATTGGGGCTAAGGCTAGTGCCAAGGGTAGATTATAAACCTCATTTAGAAGCAGGAAGCCCAAAGATGATTTTCTCTATATGATTGCATGAAACAAGAGCTAGCCAACAGAAACAGAAAGGCTGGTACCTTCACACGCACTGTTTGGGGAGGGCGGGACTGGTGAGGTAGGAAAGGCCAATGAAAAGTCAGATACTAAGTCAAGTGGTGATACTAGAAAGAAAAGCTGGGCTGCACCCAGATGTTGCTTTCACATCTAAATTATCTTTGTTTTTTTTTTAGAAAGCTGCTTCTAAATTTTACAAAGAATAAAAAGAGTGGTGCTATAGATCCGACCCTGATCTGGGCACAGTAAATAGTTTCAGAAGCCAAATGGGCTCAGTCATTACTGAGTACTACATCTTAGTCACATAATTTTTTTTAATTTACTTGAGAAGTAGAGAAGAGACAGAGAGCAAAACAGATGGAAAGCGCTCCCATCTTCTGGTTCACTCCCCAAATGACAGCAATAGCTAGAGTCAAAGCAAGAGCTATGAACTCAATCCAGGTTTCCCAGGTGGGTAGCAGGGACCCAACCCTACTACATGAGCCATCACCACTGCCTCCCAGAGTCAACATTAGCAGGAAGATGGAGTCAGAAGCCAAAAGCCAGGACTTGAAACCAGGTACCCAAATATGGAATGTGGATGTTTTAACTACTAAGCCAAATGCCTGCCCCATCTTAGTCATTTATTTATTTGAGAGGCAGAGTTACAGAAAGTGAGGGGGAGACACAGTGAAGCGTCTTCTAATCGCTGGTTCACTCCCCAAATGGCCGCCAATGGTTGCAGCTGGGCCGATCCGAAGCCAGGAGCCAGGAGCTTCTTCCAGGTCTCCCACACAGCTGCAGGGGCCCAGGCACTTGGGCCATTGGTCCGTTGCTTTCCCAGGCCATAGCAGAGAGCTGCATTGGAAGATGAGCGGCTGGGATGGATGTCGCCGCACAGGTGGAGGATTAACTTACTGTGCCATAACACTGGCCCATCATAGTCATTTTTAACATCACAAGAAGTCCTTGTAAAAGTGATTCCAAGGGGCCAGTGCTGTGGTGTAGCAGGTAAAGCCACGGCCTGCAGTGCTGGCATCCCATATGGGTGTCAGTTCGACTCCCAGCTGCTCCACTTCCAATCCAGCTCTCTGCGATGGCCTGGGAAAGCAGTGGAAGATGGCCCAAGTCCTTGGACCCTGCACCCATGTAGTAGACCCGGAAGAGGCTCCTGGCTCTGGATCGGCACAGGTCCAGCCGTTGAGGCCAATTGCGGAGTGAACCAGTGGATGGAAGACCTCTCTCTCTCTCTCTCTCTCTCTCTCTCTGCTTCTCCTTCTCTCTCTGTGTAACTTGACTTTCAAATAAATAAATAAACCTTAAATAAAAAAAGTGATTCCAAGAGGCCAGTGCTGTGGCACAGCAGGTTAAAGGCTTGGCCTGCAGAGCGGGCATCCCATATGGGCGCCAGTTCAAGTCCCAGCTGCTCCACTTCTGATACAGCTCCTTGCTAATACACCTGGGAAAGCAGCAGAAGTGAGTGCTTGGGCCCCTGAATCCATGTGGGAGACCTGGAAGAAGCTCCTGGCTTTGGATCAGCTCAGCTCTGGCCATTGTGGCCATTTGGGGAATGAATCAGTGGATGGAAGACCTTTCTCTCTTTGTCTCTACCTCTCTGTCTTACAGATAAATGAATCTTAAAAAAAAAAAAAAAGAAAAGAAAAACAAACAAACAAAAACCAACTCGTGATTCCAAAACAAATTCTTTTTTTTTTTTTTTTTTTTTTTTTTATTTTTGATAGGCAGAGTGGACAGAGAGAGAGAGAGACAGAGAGAGAAAGGTCTTCCTTTGCCGTTGGTTCACCCTCCAATGGCCGCCGCTGCAGCCGGCGCACCGTGCTGATCCGATGGCAGGAGCCAGGATCCAGGTGCTTTTTCCTGGTCTCCCATGGGGTGCAGGGCCCAAGCACCTGGGCCATCCTCCACTGCACTCCCTGGCCATAGCAGAGAGCTGGCCTGGAAGAGGGGCAACCGGGACAGAATCCGGCGCCCCGACCGGGACTAGAACCCGGTGTGCCGGCGCCGCAAGGTGGAGGATTAGCCTATTGAGCCACGGCGCCGGCTCCAAAACAAATTCTTACCTTTCCAGAACAGCAAAAGAGGATAACAAGGAACACGGGCAGAGCCACAGTCAGAATGTAGACCACCCAGAGCCATGGGCGCTCCTCCGCTGCCTCGATCATCTGCCCCACCACACCTGGCTGAAAAACAAAATACAGGGCTGATGCACACCAAACACAGACTGCACTGTTGTTTCCACTGTTACGGCCTACAGCTCACTCAGGCTCCACTTTTTTCAAAAGGAAATAAAGAGAAAAGCTTTGATTTTCCTGCTCCCCTTTTCAGCAGGGTGCTGTCACTTTCGTAACTACAAATGCTGGCTTGTTAATCACCTGAAGATCCAGAGCATGAAGAACTTCTTGATCTCACTATCTCTGGCTCTCTAATTCCCACTTTGGCTACATGACCACGTTTGAAAAATCTATATGTTGGGCAAGCCAAGATTCAATATTTAAGAGTACATCAAAACATACCCTAAATGGCAAACTGAGATATACACATAGACAAACTGAAAAGTGTCCTTCACATAACGGACAGAATCTAAGTCGCTACATTAGACGAATGAAATCATGTCTAAAACTGCAGCACTCACAGGCATATGACAGTGCTATAAGACGTTCACGGAAAGTGAATATTGTGTTTATTCTGATGCAGAAAACACTTTGAAATCCATTTAGTTTTGTATAAAATGCACTTTCCAATAAATTTCTGCAGTAGTCTCCTATGCTTATACTTTTAATGCTAATATTACCAAATAAGGGAAGAGATACACCCTAGAAAAGACAGCTGTTCACAAAGGAACAAGTATTTCCTTACAACAGAAATAAACGTACAGAAGACAATCCAGCAAGCACAAACCTCAGCAGCCCCATCAGCAGCTTTCTTCAGGCCCCACCCATCGTTGGCCCAGTCATCAACCACCCTCCGATCAGCAGAAATGATGAAGTTGTCAAAAAAGATGTCAGAGGTCATGGACCACAGCTCCAAACCAATAGCGCTGAAAGGAGTCATTCTGAAAGGTTCCAGATCTTCAAAGAAATCTGGATTTGGTATTTTCCTGGGTTTCCAGATTCCCTAAGGGGGACAAGGGGAATGTTTTCAAGAAAAATTGTTTCAGATAACGACCAACAATTTATAGCAAACCTGTAAGATGAATTCTGCATAATCAATAAAGATTAAATACTAACTTTGGGAAACCAATGAACAACAGGAAGAAATGATAAATGCTACTGGTGTTTCACACACTCTGTCTCTAAGATTTCTAGACTTTATTCTCAGTTTCTACCATCCTTGACATCATCTCCACAGTGAACTGGCACTTCACTACTTCACAATTTGTATTCTTACCATCTCATTTGGACCTTAATCTTTTACTGCTGACATCAAGCAAGGAGCTGATTTTGACATGGTGGAAGCATCAACTCCTACCTCAGTCCTCTACCCACCACATGACACCATCACCAAACTTGAGATTCAGATCCTGTGGCTAAAGCACCCTCCTTTCAAACATAACACATAAAGCAAATCTAACAGCGATTCTCTCCAGCTTCTAGGTCTCCCTCTGTAACTCTCAATCCACTAAGCTCTCTCTCACCTTAGGATCTTCATTCAATAACTTGAACAGAGTGATCAACCTGGGATCACACAGCCTAGTGAATACAGACAGATCAAGGAGAACAGCAGAACTGTAAGAGGCACAAACCTGGTAGTTAGGATTGTCAATCATGGGAGGCTTCCATTTGCCTTTATAACTGGGGTTGTCAATCATGGGTCGCTGCCAGACACCACAGCCAGGGGCTGACTCGCATTTAGGGTTGGCAATCTGAGGAGCCTCCCATTCACCATCCATGTCTTCATCCCTGTGGAGATATTCAACAAGGAACAAGTAATATGGGGCTCTGTGATGCTGTCACGGGGCCACAATATGTTAATACCATCTTCTCTTGTGTTTCTATTTCCAGTAACAGCTTTTCACGATACATTTTAAAAAAAAAAAAGGTAATTAAATTTGGTGGACTTGGCTTAAGTATTAGTTTCATTTAAATTAACACACACACACACATGCACACACGTGTGTGAGTGCGGTGGGCCTGCATCCCACATCAGAGTGCCTGGGTTTGAGTCTCAACTCCTCCAGCTCCTTACTCAAGCTTCCTGCTAATGCAGACCCCAGGAGGCAAAGGCAATGGTTCAAGTTATGTGGTTCCTACCACTCACATGGGAGACCTAGGCAGATCTGCACTGAATTCCCAGGCCCTGGCTTCGGCCCTAGCCCAGCTCAGGCTGTTGCAGGCCTTTGGGGAGAGAATCAGCAGAAGGGAGCTCTCTGTTGCCACTACTGCTATCTCCCAAATAAACAATAAAACAGGTCATTTAAAAAGTTAGCAGAAACTTTTACCAATCCTCTGGCTTCTCTGCATCAGGGTCAGGCACATATTCAGGCTCATCATCTAACCAGCCTTCAGGTTTTGTGGCCTCCTCATCTGGAATCTTAGCAGGGGCATCTTCATCCCTTAAACACAAAAGAAAAAGTCAATTAGGACAACACTAGCAGAAGAATCACACTGTAATCCCACTCTGACTCTGAAACAGAATTCTGAAAATATTTAGGTCTTACTTAATCTGAAAATTTTAAATAATCTTACAAGAAAATATTTATAAATCATGAAACTGAAAAGGGCCTAGTATCCAAAATATACAAAGACCTCTACAACTCAATGAAAAAACAACATCAAAGGATTTGAATAGATAATTCTCCAAAGACAACAGTAACAACCGTGTGAAGAGATGCTCAACATCATTACCTATCAGGGAAATGCAAATAGAGCTATACCACTTTATATCCACTAGGATGGCTACAATAAAAAAGATGGAATAAAAACAAGTGTTTGAGGGGCTGGTGCTATGGCACAGCAGGTTAACGCCCTGGCCTGAAGAGTGGCATCCCGTATGGGCACTGGTTCAAGTCCCGGCTGCGCCACTTCCGATTCAGCTCTCTGCTGTGGCCTGGGAAAGCAGTAGAGGATGGCCCAAGTCTTTGGGCCCCTGCACCCAAATGGGAGACCCGGAAGAGGCTCCTGGCTTTGGATCAGCGCAGCTCCAGCTGCTGCGGCCAGCTGGGGAGTGAACCATCGGATGGAAGACCTCTCTCTCTCTCTCTCTAACTCTGACTTTCAAATAAATAAATAAATTTATATAAAAAAAAACAAACCCACACAAGTGTTCGGGAAGCAGGCATTTGACACAGAAGTTAAAGATGCTACCTGGGATGCCCACACCCCAGTGCTGGATTCAAGTCCCAGCTCTGCTTCTGATTCCTGCTTCCTAATAACGCAGACCCTGGGAGACAGCAGGTGACGGCTCAAGTATTTGTGTCCCTACCAAATACATGGGACTCTTAGAATGAGATCCCAGCTCCTGGTTTCAGTCTTGGCTGTTCCTAGCATTTAGGGCGTGAACTAGCAGAGATGGGAGATCTCTGTCTCTGCCCCTCCAATAAATATTTTTAAAAAGTATTAGTGAGGATATAGCAAACTGGAAACTCATACATTGTTTGTGGGAAAGTTAAATGGTGCAGCTGTTTTGGAAATGTTTGGCAATTCCTTAAAAACTTAAACAGTTACAATGTGATCCAGCAACTTTGCTTTTAGCCATGTACTAAAGAGAACTGAAAATATATATTCACACAAAAACCAGTATGTAATTTTTCATATCGCTACTCAACACCGACAAAATAAAATACAATATTCACTACACAATTCAGTAGTATTCTGTCAAGAACTGAAGTACTGAACTGCACCCTCTTCAACATGGATGAAGTCTGAACATTTACCCTAAGTGAAAGAAGCCAGATACAAAAAAACACATTCTAGATAATTCCATTTACAAGAAATCTCCAGAAGAAGTAAAGAGCAAATCTGGGATTATGAGGGGCCACAGGAAGGGAGAAATAGGGATGACCACATAACACTATGAAGACGTTAATAGCCACTGAATTATATCCTTGCTACAAAAATTACTCCTCAAATAAAAGTTCACCAGCAAGTACCCAATTTCAAAGTTTTACACAGTTGCTATACAAGTGCCACTTTAGTTTACAATCAAAAATATCCTCTGTCCTTGGTCAGAATCTGTTTTACCAACCTCTAGCTTGAGATATAAATTAACTGTATCTCAAGATCACGTATGAGCTCAGCCAGCTCTTTTAAGCTGAACACTCTCACCTTAATTAAGGAATAAAATACAGAACAAGGTTGACTCCAACTTATATTGCCACATACATATATGTACATACCACATGTACAAATAAACTTAACACTTGTATAACGAAAAGTCACTATAATGAAAATCAAGTATGGCTATATACCACACATTAGAGTTCATTTCTCTTCACTCCAATTCTTACCCTACACAAAAAGTCACAATGGTTCTCACCCATGTCAAGTTCATTCCTCCTCTTATGGAACACAATGGTCTTCCACTTAGTTAATTCTCGTCCTACTTTCTTTCAAGTCTCAATTTGATTTGCCCTGCTCCAGGAAACCAGGCCTGGGTTAGGTACACCTGGCACTCTGGTCACTAAGTAGTACCTTCTCAGACTACTTACCATACTACATGCCGAGTTCCTTTACCTGCCTTATAGCTGGACTGAAGCACTGGGTAGGGATACGTCCTTCTGGTTTAGTATTCTATGACCCAGTACAGAGCAGAGAATCGTTAAATGGAAAAAGGCTATTTTTCAAACTAAAATTTAATATTTCAGGACATCAAATATAGATGTGAATTCAAGGGCACATTTGGAATGGCCAAGTCAAGAGCTCTGGGGTCCTGCCACAAACCATCTGTGTCACCACAGGCAAACACTGTCATCCATTTTGGCAGTTCTGAAACACTGTCCTGACTCTAAACAGAAAGCTGCCCGAGACTCACCAGTCATCAGGCTTGACAGCATCTGGATCTGGTATTTTTGGTCTTTCATCCCAATCCTCAGGTTTCCGGTCTTCCGGATCCTCAATTTCACGTGAAGGATTTACTGCAGGAGTCATGTCATTTAGTAGATTTCCGCTGTTCACAACAGACTGGTCAACCAGTATTTCAAAACTATTATCTGGATTCAAGACTGGAAGCAATTAAACGCAATGAAAAACAGTTAATTAACCACTCACTGCAAAGTTCCCTTCACCACGTGACTTGTAACAAAAAGCTGCAGCATAAAAGCATGAGAAAGACCACAGGCACTGAAGTCAGAACATGACCCACCATGCTAGGCTGCTGGGGGCCCTGGTCAAAGGGACTCTTTTCCTTATCTGCAGAATATAAACGCTACTTCCTTTGGTTTCTAGGAATCACAAATAACAGCAGGCAAGTTACGTTTACTTACTGTAACCACCTTCCAATAATCAAGGCCCATGACACTAACCCACTGTTGGTGGGAATGCAAACTGGTCAAGCCACTATGGAAATCAGTCTGGAGATTCCTCAGAAACCTGAATATAACCCTACCGTTCGACCCAGCCATCCCACTCCTTGGAATTTACCCAAAGGAGTTTAAATTGATAAACAAAAAAGCGGTCTGCACCCTAATGTTTATTGCAGCACAATTCACAATAGCCAAGACCTGGAACCAACCTAAATGCCCATCAACGGTAGACTGGATAAAGAAATTATGGGATATGTATTCTTTAGAGTACTATACCGCAGTAAGAAACAACGAAATCCAGTCATTTGCAACAAAATGGAGGAATCTGGAACACATCATGCTGAGTGAAGTAAGCCAGTCCCAAAGGGACAAATACCATATGTTCTCCCTGATCGGTGACAACTGACTGAACACCAAAAAGGAAACCTCCTGAAGTGAAATGGACACTATGAGAAATGGGGACTTGATCAGCATAGCCCTGACTGCTAATGGACAACTTAATACATTATCCCTCATAGTATTTTTTTTTTTTTGTCTGTTCTACTTAATATGACTGGTTTAATTCTGTAATTATCACACAGTTATTCTTAAGTGTTGAAAATTAACTGAAATGTGATCCCTGTTAAACATAAGAGTGGGAATAAGAGAGGGAAGAGATGTATAATTTGGGGCATGCTCGGGCTGACTTGCCCCAATTGGTAGAGTTGGAAACATACCAGGGGATTCCAATTCAATCCCATCAAGGTGGCATGTGCCAATGCCATCTCACTACTGCAAGTGATCAATTTCAGTTCACAATTGATCATAATGAAAGGACTAAGAGTCAAAGGGAGCACATAAACAAGTCTAGTATCTGCTAATACCAACCGATAGAATAAATAAAGGGGAGAGTGATCCAACATGGGAAGTGAGATACTCAGCAGACTCATAGAATGGTGGATGTCCTAAATAGCACTCTGGCCTCAGAATCAGCCCTAAAGGCACTCGGATCTGGCTGAAAAGCCCATGAGAGTATTTCAGGCATGGAAAGCCAAGACACTCTGGCAAAAAGATCTCTGTGAGTGAGATCCCAGTGGAAAGAACAGGTCTTCAAAGAGGGAGGTGCCTTTCTCTGAAGGGAGGAGAGAACCTCCACTTTGACTATGACCGTGTCTAAACAAGATAAGAGTTGGAGAACTCAAGGGGCTTCCATAGCCTTGGAAACTCATAACGGGTGCATAGGGAGATTACTGATGCCATAAACAGGAGTGTCAATTGGTAAAGTCAACAACAGGAGTCACTGTGCACTTACTCCTCATGTAGGATCTCTGTCCTTAACGTGCTGTACACTGAGGCTTAATGCTATAACGAGTACTCAAACAGTATATTTCACTTTGTGTTTCTATGGGGGTGCAAACGACTGAAATCTTTACTTAATGTACACTAAACTGATCTTCTGTTAAAAAAAAAAAAAAAAAGAAAGAAAGAAATTATCAATTCCCAACTTGACTCTCACTGGGATTAAACATGACAATAGGTCTGATCTGATTTCACCATCATTTAAAAAAAATCATCTATTAGTTTTCACTTTATGTTTCTGTGTGGGAGCAAACTGTTGAAATACTTACTTAAGGTATACTAAGCTGATCTTCTGTATATTAAGATAATCGAAAATGAATCTTGATGTGAATGGAAGGGGAGAGGGAGTGGGAAAGGGGAGGGTTGTGGGTGGGAGGGACGGTATGGGGGGGAAGCCATTGTAACACATGAGTCGTACTTTGGAAATTTATATTCATTAAATAAAAGATTAAAAAAAAAAAAAAAAGAAATCACTGTAAAAAAAAAAATAATAATCAAGGCCCATGTATTTATTTTTCCTAGGACTGGTATTGCCACCATTTGTGTTACCAAAATCACAAATTACACAAACCTTTTTCAATGCAGCTCTCTGCTAATGGGCCTGAGAGAGCAGCAGAAGATGGCCCACACATGCCTGGACCCCTGCACCCACATGGGAGACCTGGAAAAAGCTCCTGGCACAGCTCTGCCACTGCAGCCATTTGGGGAGTAAATCAGCAGATGGAAGACCTCTCTGTCTCTCCCTTTGTCTCAAATAAAAAACTTTGATCCAGCTCTCTGCTATGGCCTTGAAAGGCAGCAGAAGATGGCCCAAGTCCTTGGGCCCCTGTACCCACGTGGGAGACCCAGAGGAAGCTCCTGGCTCCTGGCTTCAGATTGGAGTAGCTCCAGCAGTTGCGGCCACCTGGGGAGTGAACCAGCAGATGGAGGACCTATGTCTCTCTCTGCCTCTCCTTCTCTCTCTGTATAACTCTTTCAAGTAAATATAGGCCGGCACTGCAGCTCACTAGGCTAATCCTCCGCCTTGCGGCGCCGGCACACCGGGTTCTAGTCCCGGTCGGGGCACCGGATTCTGTCCCGGTTGCCCCTCTTCCAGGCCAGCTTTCTGCTGTGGCCAGGGAGTGCAGCGGAGGATGGCCCAAGTCCTTGGGCCCTACACCCCATGGGAGACCAGGATAAGTACCTGGCTCCTGCCATCGGATCGGCGCGGTGCGCTGGTTGCAGCGCGCCGGCCGTGGCGGCCATTGGAGGGTGAACCAACGGCAAAGGAAGACCTTTCTCTCTGTCTCTCTCTCACTGTCCACTCCTGCCTGTCAAAAAAATAAAAAAATAAATAAAAAAAAATCAAGTAAATATAAATCATTAAAAAAAAAACATTCTAGGTGGGATTTATGCTACAGCCTGGATCACACAATTCAATGATGTAAGAGGCAAAGCAGACGACAGGATCCTATGCTGCCATTATCAATGATAATGAAGATACTGTCAGGAGACTCTCACACTCTTACATAGTTAAGAAAGCAAGTTAAATATAGCAAATGTAACTTCTATAAAAGTTAAATTTGTTTATATACAAACACATAGCATAATGCTGATATTTCGGATAATTTTAAAATGTTTATATTTGTTGTTCATTTATTTACTTATTTGACAGACAAAAAGAAGATGCAACCTGACAGAGCTGCCATCCACTGGCTCACTCAGAATTGCCCGCAACCACCAGGGCTGGCCTAGGCAGAAGCTCGGAGCCAGGAACTCTATCTAGGTTTCCCACATGGGTGGGAGGACTCCAATTACTCGAGCTATCACCACTGATTCCCAGAGTCTGCTAGCAAAAAGCTGGAGTTAAGAGCCAGAGCTGAGTATCAAACTCAAGTACTCCTACATGGGATGTCGGCATCTTAACCACCAGGCCAAATGCCTGTAAATATTTAGATAATTAAGTATCTTCATTTCTGAACTGCAATACCCTGAAAACATATTACTTTTATAATAAAGATTATTATACTCTGTAGGGAAGAGTCACGTCTATTTATGATCCCAAACCAGCAGGAGTATCTTCATTAAAATAACAAAAACCAGGGTGGGTGTTTGGCCAAGCAGTTAAGATGTCAATTAAGATGCCCACAACCCTTGGGGCTGGCGCTGTGGCACAGTAGGTGAAGCTACCTCCTGCAGTGCTGGCATCTCATGTGGGTGGCAGTTCAAGTCCCGGCTGCTCCACTTCCAATCCAGCTTTTTGCTATGGCCTGGGAAAGCAGCAGAGGATGGCCCAAGTGCTTGGGCCCCTGCACCCACATGGGAGACTAAGAAGAAGCTCCTGGCTCCTGGCTTTGGATTGGTGCAGCTCTGGTTCTTGTGGCCAATTGGGGAGTGAACCAGTGGATGGAAGATCTCTCTTTCTTTGCCTTTCCTTCTCAGTGTAACTCTTTCAAATAAATAAATAAATCTTAAAAAAAAAAAAAAAAAAAAAAAAAAAGATGCCCACAACCCATACTAGATCTGCCTGGGTTTTAGTCACAGCTCCACTCCTGATTCCAACTTTTTCCTAATGGGCACTCTAGGAAGCAACAGGCTCAAGTGGTTGGGTCCCTGCCACCACATGGGCAGGCTGCCAACTGAGTTCTCAGCTCCTCATTTGTTGGAGGCATTTGAGAAATGAACCAGCGGTCTACAACTTTCTGTGTGTGTCTTTCAAATAAATAAAAAAAAAATAAATTTTAATAACAAAATAAAAGAAACCTATTCCAGTATCCTACTCAACTGTTTAGGCATTAGTGCATCCAAAAAAGTTCAAAATAAACAATAATTGTGAAGATCTTCATATGTATTTCTATTGTATGTCTTATTCTTTAACACTTTATCAGTAAGAAAGTAAACGAAGGGAGGAAATGAGAAGACCAGCAAAGAAGTTCTTTACAAGACACAGAGCTAATTCTTAAAATAGTCCCAAACCTCAGCTTTCAAGTCAACCTACAGACAAGAAGCTTCTTCCAGTGCTGACACATTCGGCTCATTTCTCTATTAAGATAACTCAAAAGGCTTGCTTAGCAAGCATGGGTATTCTCCAGATGTGCAATCTCTAAATTACTGTTACCAGGCATTCTTACTTAATGTATAGAGATGTGTCTTCTTATCAGTGAAATAGGTCTTCAGATCTGCGTCCGGCCGCTTAGCATGCTTTTCTTCATACACCCCTGTTTTGGGGTTTTTGTGGCGGAAGATGAAGTGCAGTTTATAGTCCTCACCACATTTATCTGGTCCAAACATAATCGTGTAAGGGGTCTTGTCGTGGAACTGATCCTTCAGAAACAAAAACACATTTTTTATGTTCAGTAACTCTAGTCAGACTAAAGTGTTCAAAAGCAGCCTTTCAAAAATGTACTTCTTCTCAAAAACTCTAAATAAGTCATAATTAAAAGAAAAGCTGATTAATTTATAAGGTTTGTTTATGTACCACTGAAAAATACTAACTAGAAACTATCAGGAAACTTAAAATCACAGTGCTGAAAAAACAGTAATGCATGTATCTAGTTATTTCCTAAAATAGAAATATACTTCTAAAACTAAAAGTTATACAAAACAGAAGCTATAAAGTCGATAGCTTTAAATTTTATATTTCAAATAAAAAGCACACTATTGTCACAGACAATATTCTCAACCAAACCAAAGACTTAAACAACAGAGGAGGAGGCCTGTATCTTACAGGTTTATTATAAAAACTCCTTTTCTGTTCTCTAAGATTCTTGTCAAATAACTGTGGGTGGCCAGCCACATGCAGCAGTACCTACCAGGTTGAGTTCTGGTGTCTTAGAAAGCAGTTTCACATAGGCACCACCACATTCTATTCCATTTTGGAAATTAACCTCATACCTAATTTCAGAAAAATAAACAAATAAATAAAATAGCAGAAGAAACCCTATGGCATTCTGAAAGCTCCCTTAGTTCCCTCCCCTTCCTACCAACTCGCTCACCTGTTTCCACATTTTATGCTCATCTCTAAGAAAGATTTAATTTCCATTGCTTTAAAATGGCTACCGAATCTCACAAAAATAACTAAAATAAAAATTAGACCTTACTATAGAGTCCCAGTAAATGCTTTTTGCAAAATCCAGAAGCTTATTATCAAAAGGATGAACGAACAGTTTGTTTCAAAATGTGTCAGGCAGGAAAATGATATTACAGGATGCTTAAATTCATTCAGAAATTCTCCCTGTAATTTTTCTAAGAATACTTCTAAAAGTGTGTGGAAAAATGCAATGAAAAGTTTATTTTGGTGCAAAAATATGCTGAAATCCAAGCAAAGTTTTTTCAAAATACACATTTTTTTGGTAAACTTTATAATCTCATAATTTCATAATCTCACTTTTTTTGGACAGTCATTAATTTTTAAAGAAAGCTTTTATCAAACAGCCATTCCACTTACTGAACAATGAGAGGCTTGGTGTCAAACAGGAAGGGCTTGTTCAGTTTAGCAGAGATGGCATGATGCTTGGCCCGGGACATCAACACCAGTCCTTTATCGCCTGGAAGCTTTGTTTCCTTCATTTCATCAACCTCCCACTTTCCTACAAACACCACAAAAGAGCTTCACTCCTTAAATACATCTTTAAATTGTCCATCATACAGATGAATTTTTGACATTTCTTGTTCATCATACCACTGCCTGGAAAAGACTTTCCATTCCTAACAGACAGCAGAACAGGTGATTAAGTAGGTCTAATCCTATCAAACATATTGAAGGCAACACTCAAAAATGGTGAAACTCCCAAGAAAAAATTTTAAAACACAGATCTCCCTTTGAAGTAGTCTTAAGAGATGCCATGGACTTTGTGGCAGAGCAGGTAAAGCTGCTGCCTGCATGCTGACATCTCATATGGGGCTGATTTGTGTCCCAGCTGCTCCACTTCTGATTCAGCTTCCTGCTAATAGTCTGGGAAAAGCAGTGGAAGATGGCCCAAGTGCTTGGGTCCCTGCACCCACGCGGGAGACCTGGAAGAAGTCTTGGCTTCAGTCTGCTCCATCGCTGGTGTTGTGGCCATCTGAGGAGTCAACCAGCAGATGGAAGACCTCTCTCTTTTTTTCAAATAAATGAATCTTTAAAAAACAAAAAAAGAGGTACCATGGAAACAACATGTCAAACCTCAACCTGCTTTGATATCCAAACCAACTGTAATTCTCACCATCATATTTAGCAATTTCATCATCAGTGTCATCTTTTTTGGCTTTGGATAAAATCCACCTGTAATTAAAACAAAGCCACAAATTAATATTCAAATGACCTATGGAGACAGTAAATTTTCACAAAGCCAGATCTATCTTCTTAGCATTCTTAATCACTCTACTTTCAACTGTAAAATGTCACTCAAGTAGTGATAATATATAGTATTCAACCTATAAGAAAAGGTACCAAACTCTCTCTCTTTTTTTTTTAAGATTTTAAAGAGAAAAAACTTGGGACTGACGCTGTGGAGTAGTGGGGCAAAGACTCAGTCTTCAGCGTCAGCATCCCAAATGGGCACTGGTTTGGTCCCAGCCACTCCACTTCTGATCCAGCTCCCTGCTAATGCACCTGGGAGAGTGGCAGAGACGGCCCAAGTCCTTGGGCCCATGCACCCATGTGGGAGACCTGGAAGAAACTCCTGGCTTCTGACTTCAGATTGGCCCAGCTCCAGCTGTTGCAGCCATATGGGGAGTGAGCCAGTGGATGACCTCTCTGTCTCTCCCTCTGTTTATAACCCTACCTTTCAAAAAAATAAATAAAATCTTAAAAAAAAAAAAAACCTATCTGAAAGTCTTTTGTGAACACGAACACTAGAGATACAAGAGCCATATATTACTACATTAAATGCTATCTAAAAGGGATCCAACTGTGATGTTTTCTTTCTAGATTTTCCTTCCCTAGGAAATACTTACCCTGAGAGAGTTCCCCTGTCAAAGGAATCAGCAAAATACACTTCCCCTGTTGGAACTGGAGCTTTGTAGGTAACCTGTGTTAAACATAAAAATGAATTAACAATCAAAATTCTCAACAACACTCCTTTCTTAGCTAACATTCCTTCCTTACCAGAATGTTTTGATTGCTTTCAATTGTCATAAAATTCTTATAGATGGCCCTCAAATTCAAGCCATATAGATGTTTGGCAAGATGTAACAAAAACTACCAGAGAAATCATTAGGTATTATAGCAAACTGGCTTTCCCTTTGAAAAGAATTCAGATTGGCCACAAATTTATCTCAAATGCTAAAAGGAAAAGACCATGTCAAACCTTTGGAGATGGAGGAGGAGTGCTGGTATCTGGTTTTGATTTTGAGTCTTCTACCTCTTCAATGACATCATCAAGGTCATCCTCAATATCAATCATATCGTCATCATGTCCATCATGACCTTGAATGACAGCCGTTCCAAGGACCAGCAACATACACAGTAACCACTTCCTTTCCATGATCTATATATAAAAATAAAGTAAGCTCAACGTGTTATCTCTTTAAATTTTATAAAGAATATTAAACCTCTTATTTAAAATTAAGGCTTTCAGTATTAGCTGGAAAAGGCGAGTCCAGTCTCAAAATGGAGTCAAAACCACTGCTTGGTCCACCACAGCCCAACTCCAACCTTCACTGCCTCACTGCCACTGGGGGGCAGAGGAGAGGCCATGATCCCAAGGAATCATAGAAACTATTGGTAGTTCTGAAACTACAGATAGCTTTAAGAGAACATTTTGAGAAATGGAGCAGGCACACTCACAGATTGTATGGTAATGAGACTCCCCAAACAAGAGTCCCAGGTGCTTTGGTTTTGTGACTTCTGTGCTGAAGAGGGAGATAGCAATGTATCCTTGACCACACCAGGTCGAGTTGTTGCTACAATGGACTGGTAAAGCCTGGTACCCACCTAACAGTGAGGGAGATTTTTGTTGGTGGTGCTAAAGATACAGAGGAATATAATTTGAGACTACTCCGAAAGTCTTGCAAGACTGAAAACATAGAAGTTATGGATGACAGGCAGGGTGGGAAAAAGAGGATTTGCTTTTGTAACTTTTGATAATGACAGAGTTGATAAAATTGTTCAGAAATAATACATTATTAGTGGACACAGTTGTAAAGTGACAAAGGCCCTTTTTAAACAAGAGATGCAGTCTGCTGCTGGATCACTGATGGCAACTATGGCAGTGGCTTTGATTATAATAGCAGAGGAAGCTATTGTGGTGGACCAAGACATGGAAACCAGGGTGGTAGATATGAAGGAGGAGGAGGAGATGATGGTTACAACGAAGACATTTTAGAGAGAACTATGGTGGTGGTATAAATTATAATTATTTTGGAAATTATGGTAGAAAACAGCAATCAAATTATGGGTCCACAAAAGGGGACAATTTCGGAAGAAGTTCAGGCAGTCTGTGTGGTGATGGATATGAATCTGGTGGTGGAAGTGGTGAAGGGGCAACAAGTCTTAGCAGGCAATAAGTCAAGGAGTTGTTAGGAAAGCTAGTCATCCCAAGTGCATTAGAGGAACTCTAAAAATCTGTCACAGAAGGAACAAAGATCCACAGTCAGGAAAGTGACTGCAGCTTAACACAGGAAACCTTCTTGTTCAGAACTGTCATAGCTTAAGTTTGCAAAAAGTCCAACTATTGATTAATGCAATGCAATAATTAGATGTGTACTCCTGAGGTCTTTAAAAAAACTGTTTTCAAATAAAAGTTAAAAGGAACTTTACTGCATTTCATTTATATATAAAGCACAATAAGCCCAAAGAGATGAAGGGGTTTTCCAGATATAAGTTAAGAGATCTGATTTCAAGAAAATTTCAAAATCAAATTCAAACATGCACAATTTTCCCCATAAAGAATATCATACTGGTCACACAGACCTAGGCATTCAATTTCCAATGAACTTCTTACATTTGACAAGTGTTGTAGATGGACAAATACCCTTTCACATAATTCAGGATTCATGCTGATTAAAACATTATAATGAGGGGCCTGCACTGTGGCACAGCGGGAAAAGCTGCCATCTGCAGTGCCAGCATCCCATATGGGCGCAGGTTCAAGTCTCAGCTGCTTCATTTCTGATCCAGCTCTCTAAGGCCTGGGAAAGCAGAAGATGGCCCACATCCTTGGGCCCCTGCTCCCGTGTGGGAGACCTGGAAGAAGCTCCTTGCTCCTGGTTTAGGATGGGCCCAGCTTTGGCAGTTGCGGCTATTTGGAGAGTGAACCAGAGGATGGAAGATCTTTCTCTCTGCCTCTGTTAATTCTGCCCTGTTTTTTTTTTTTTTTTTTTTTTTGACAGGCAGAGTTAAGACAGTGAGAGAGAGACAGAGAGAAAGGTCTCCCTTCTGTTGGTTCACCCCTCAAATGGCTGCCACGACCGGCGTACTGCACCGATCCGAAGCCAGGAGCCAGGTGCTTTCTCCTGGTCTCCCATGCAGGTGCAGGGCCCAAGCACTTGGGCCATCCTCCACTGCCTTCCCAGGCCACAGCAGAGAGCTGGACTGGAAGAAGAGCAACCGGGACAGAACCGGCACCCCAACCGGGACTAGAATCCGGAGTGCCAGCACCGCAGGCAGAGGATTAGCCTAGTGAGCCATGGCGCCGGCCCAATTCTGCCTTTCAAATAAATATTAAAAAAAAAAAAAAAAATTATAATGAATGGTAACAGGAGATAAATCACCAAGCTAAATGTGGATACTGCTGCTGATAAAAAAATCATCAATTGTTGACATCTCTTCAAATCATAGTGTTTGAAGACTCAATAGCAAAAATATTAAACCAAAGACTAGCGACTTTTATTATTCTAAGCACTTACACGCCCTGTTTATTAATGTCATGGGTAATACAGGCCTTCTTTCCAAGGGCTATAGATCTAAAGACATAAAAACTGAGACATGGGGCTGGCACTGTGGCACAGTGTGTTAAGCAGCTGCTTGCAATCCAATATCCTATGTGGGCACTGGTTCAAGTCCCAGTTGCTCCACATCCAATCCAGCTCACTGCTAATGCACCTGGGAAAGCAGCAGAATATGGTACAAGTCCTTGGGTCCCTGCACCCATGAGGGAGGCCTAAATAGAGTTCCAGGCTCCTGGCTTCAGCCTGGCCCAGCCCTGGGTGTTGTAGCCATTTGAGAAATCAATCAGCAGATGGAAGACTTCTTTTTCTCTGTCCCTCCCTCTCTAATTCTGCCTTTCAAGTAAATAAATCTTAAAACAAAACAAAAACACTGAGCCACATGGACAAAATGGTTTGGTAGTTATGTAGATTTTTGTTGGGGGTCTGAGAAGGAAAAAACAAAACAAACAGAAGATACACAACTAGAAGTATGTGTGTGTACTTGTGTGGACACAGGGTTGTCCTTGTACACATGTGTGTACACACACAGTGTATCCTCTCTCCTATCTCCTCTCTCCACCGTCAGCCAGTCAACCCCTTTGTGTCACTCCTCTCCAGCACCAACATCAGAATCCTGACTGGTACCTTTCCAGGTCCTTCTTCCTTTTTGAAGCCATCCCGCACCCTGATAATAGACTAATAACCAAAATCTGTCATGAACATACAGGTCTGCAAAGCTTTCAGAGCCCTCTTCCTCATGCTCCTCTGTACTGGGGCATGACCTCTCTCAGTCATCTCAGGACTGCATTTGCATAATGCACGAGGGTAAAACTCACTGTATTCCTAAATGCTCAGCATTTGGGCAGCGCAGAAAATAAAGTGCTAATAAAGTCATTCATAAATTACCCAGGAAAGGTACTGGTTTTTAGGAGACAACTTCATTATCTGCTATGATTTCTTATATACTTAAGAAATAGCAGTAATCACTCATTTATTCGTTGGAAAGAACTTTTTTCCTTTACCATTAAAATATATGATATAAAAAACTGGTTTAATTCAAAAGTTTATCTAAATTAACTCTATACAACTTCTAAATTATCTCTCAGAAAAACAATGCTATAAATGGTGTTGAGTCCCAAGGATAGGCTATGAAATAAATTAGCATAAAACAATATGTACTACATAGTTGCAACCTTTTAAAAGCAAAATGTGGTGACACTAGTAGTATTTAAGAAAGCACAAGCTGGCGCCGCGGCTCAATAGGCTAATCCTCCGCCTAGCGGTGCCGGCACACCAGGTTCTAGTCCCAGTCAGGGCGCTGGATTCTGTCCTGGTTGCCCCTCTTCCAGGCCAGCTCTCTGCTGTGGCCCAGGAGGGCAGTGGAGGATGGCCCAAGTGCTTGCGCCCTGCACCCGCATGGGAGACCAGGAGAAGCACCTGGCTCCTGGCTTCAGATCAGCGTGGTGCACCAGCCGCGGCAGCCATTGGAGGGTGAACCAACGGCAAAGGAAGACCTTTGTCTCTCTCACTCTGCCTGTAAAAAAAAAAAAAAAAAGAAAGAAAGCACAAAATCAATGGATTAATATTAGGACCAGGTATTGGTGCTGAAATATTATCCAAGGAAAAGCTAAACAGATAGATGGTTCAGTTACCTTTAAAAAGGGTAGAACTGATTTTCTTTTCTCAACAACTTTGAATTTGTTAGAGGTAACTTTTATCGCCTGACTCACCCCACCACACACACACCCCAAATCCGTAAATCCATAAACTGAAGCCACAGCCTCCAATGTAACTTTTTAACTATTATTTGCAGAGAGGAACTTCAAGATCATTGAGGCTAAATGAGGTCATTAGGATCCCAAAGTATTGGTGACCACATGAAGAAGTCCACACAGAGGAAAGGCCTTGTAAGGACATGAGGAGACCAAGGCAAGCCACTAAGAGACCCCACAGAAACCAACCCTGCCGGCACCTTGGTATTGATTTAACATGCAGGGCACTGTGATGGCAGCCACAGCTGACCAAGACAACCCTCTTTAGGTTATATAGAACAAAGTAGGGCAGTGCTTCTTTTTTTTAAAGATTAATTTATTTATTGAAAGGCAGAGTTGCAGAGAGAGAGAGAAAGAGAGAGAGAGAGAGAGAGAGAAAAGTTTCCATCCGTTGGTTTACTCCCCAAATGGCTGCAATGGTTGCAGTTGGGACCACCTAAAGCTAGGAGCCAGGAACTTCTCCCAAAGTCTCCTACATGGATGCAGGGTCCCAAGCACTTGGGCCACCTTCCACTGCTGTCTCAGGCCATAGCAGGGAGCTGGATCGGAAGCGGAGCAGCCAGGACTCGAACTGGTGCGTATATGGGATGCCAGCACTGCTTCTTAAAGTTGGGTGTCCAGCCCCACCACCCAGAGGACTGGTTAAAACAAGCCTGCTGAGCCCTATCCCGAGTTTCTGATTTGTCAGGAGGGCAGAGCAAGGCTGGCCAGGTGAGCTAAGATTTCATATTTCTAACGAGTACCCAGCGAATGTGCCAAGGCTGCTGGCCCAGGATCCACACTTTGAGAACTACTGATCAAGTCTTATGAATAAGCTTTGTGTGCTTTGATACTCACTTTATAAAAAG